TTCTTCTACAATCAAGTTCAGATCTTGAAGAACATAAGTAAAAGCGATCACACTTTGAAAGGGTTAGAGCATTCGTGGAGTGTTGTCTGATCTACCTGCTACTATTCTACAAATATCAAGCATAAGCCTAAGGTCAAGTTACTGTTGGACGGGGAGTCGCAATGCCAGAGGATTGTCAGCAATTGGTGTTTGGTAGAACGATAAGGTGTGAGCCAGAGTCAAAGTTCGGTGTACTTTATTTCAAACATAGTGGATCGGTTTACTTTGGACTGAATAGTCCACGAGGTTTTTCCCATGCAAACAGTTGACATATTTTATCAACTGGAGTTTCCTCGCTAAAAATTTAGGTGCAATATATCTAAACTTTTACTTATTTCACTTTACATATATTTATGATTGTGGATGTTTAAATTGATCATATAATTTAATCAATCATAAATTGAGCAAGTTGACCTAATAATCAAATCTAGATCATTAAAGGAGTTAATCACAATTAAAATCAACTGATTGTTATCGCACCCCGCGTAACTCTATTTTCACAATTTGTCATGTCTTTATCTGATTCTGATATTTTGGATAACAAAGACAATAAAGTTCATGATGAACAATTTGAAGAGGCTGAAAAGGATGATGAAAGATTGAAGGAGATGATCAAAGAAACTATGGAGACCAAACAAGTAATCAATAAGCTAGTAAAAGAGCTTATTTAAGCAAAAAGAGAGAATGAAGATCTAAAGAAACAGATTGATGAAGGGAAAAGAAAAGGTTTTGAAAGTGATTCTGTCATCACTGAGCTTGATAAGCAAATTATCATTCTTGAGGATAAGGTAAGTATTGCTAACTCATTGAAGAAATGTCTTGCTTTGAAATGATTATCTTGAAATTGAATTGAAATCTGTACAAGATAAACTGAAAGGGTTCAATTTGAGTGAAAACAGTTTGAATAAGATAATCAACATAGGTAAGGATGTGAATGATAAAACAGGGTTAGGATTTGTTAAAGGTTCTTCTAGTAATCAAGGTAAAACAACTTTTGTTAAACCTGCTATTATGCCTAAACCATGTTCCCCTGATGCATCACATTCTGATATGTCTTATGTGCCTAAATTGTTGCATTGCACTTTTTGTGGAAAGAATGGACATAAGTATAACTCATGCCTTCATAGGAAAAGATGCCTTCATAGGAAAAAGAAAGACTTTTCTAAAATTCATTCTCATGATGTTCATGCTAAGAAAAAGGTGTTTTCTAAAAAGAAAAAGAATGTGCCACCTAAGATTTCTAAAGCTGAAAATTTGCCTAAGAAAGAGGTAAAGAAAGAAAAAGAATTTCAGGAAATGGGAGTTAGAACTATTTGGATCAAAAAGTCTGATTTGGTCAATTATATGCCTGTTGAGTCCATGGAACAACTTTCCAAAAGGACTTCACTTTCAAACTGAGTCCTATGAAATTTAGTGATCATGGGTTGTGTTTAAAAAAAAAAAATGTTTTTGTTATTCGATCACTTGCTAGGGTTCGGTTTAGGTTTGAGTTTTTTATCATAGTCATCTTGATATATCTGAGAAAATTCTTCCATTGAATTTATGATCTATCTTTGGATGCAAAATTGGACATATGATTTTTGATTAAAAATAAATTTTTGGTTTGTAATCTATACAAAGAAAGTTGATTTGCATTGATTAAGGAATTTTTAGATTTGAATCTCTTAAGTTCATAACCTTTTGTGCACTAGTCCAAATTTGTGAAAAATTTTGATTGAAAATCTTTAAATTGTTAACTAGGGTATATTGATCACAAAAGCTGCAAAGGTTATTGTCTGGAGGAAAAAAAAAAAGTACTGAATTCTTTGTTTAGGAAAAGGCTACCTATTGAGATGTGTTCGAAAGCTCCCATTAAACTTTGAAGTAGAGCTAAATGAGTAAAAAGAAAGGTGCAGACAAGTTTAATTAAGGAATTGCTGTCTGCTCTTTAGAGTGAAAGCCACTTTACTTAGAAAAAATTGCTCAAAGACAATTTTATCTTGATGATTTTCAATCAATATGGTTTAGACAATAATTAATTAAAAATTGATGAGATGGATTGTACACACACACTTGAACTTGCTAGATTGATTTCTAAATGTTTCATTAATATTTGCAAGTTAAAATTCATGTGGTGATTATTTCCTGATAATTGAAATTAATTGAATATTCTGTGGAGTCAAATTTTTGTTCATAGATAGCTCTGAAAATTTTCTGGAAATTTAGATTAGGTGTGGACTTGAAAGACTTTGAATGACTGCTCAATGATTTGTTCTTAATTTTGTTTTGTTTAAATTTAAAAAAAAAATGAAAAACTAAAAGAATTCAAAAAGATTTGTTGTTTTTTAGTTTTTAGGTTGTTTTATAGTTGGTTTAATAATTAAGTTAATCATAAAGTCAAATGAAAATTTTCTGAAATTTTTTTTCAAGTTTTGAAAGCTTACTGTCCATTTGCTACCGGTTCCCCGTGGCTCCTACCAGATCAAAGTACAAAGCTGCAAGGCTCAAGTCTCTAGAGCTTGGCTACTAGTATCACAGATTTAGTACCGGTTCAACTGTGGTCCACATCCACAATTTGCTCACTGCCCAGTGAGAACCGGTTCCCACTTTGGCTACCCATTCCAGACAACTTTTCTCTCTATATATTGTGCATTCTCTCTATTCATATATACATTACATATATCTTCTTATATTGGTTCAAATCTTGCATCATTCTCATCATACATTGCAAGTTTGAACATGGATTCATCCATTTGTTCTTGAGTTGGAAGATTAAAGGTTGAAGTTTGAAAATTGAGTTTGAGGAGGTTGGTTTTGAAAGAGTTTTAGTGGATTTGGTTAAGTCTTTGTGAAGCTCTTTGTTTATTGAAGCTTAAAGACCTTGGGTTTGATCTTGGAATCATATTTGCTTGTTGTTTGTTGAATGGTTGGGGATTCTAAAGAATCAAAACTTATTTGTTCAAAAACAAGTTGTGAAGCGCACATCAAGTGTTTGTGAAAATTACCAAGTGAACTCCGAAGCTTCAAACCAAATTTCTTCGAACATAAAATGCCTCCGAGATTATCCAAGAAGGACAAAGGAAAGGGTATTGCATCACCTCTACCTCCCAAGAGAGCCCGAATGACAATTTTTATCCGGGAACCAAAAGAGGGTTCAACCACTCCAAGGGATGCTCCGACTTCTCCTGTGTGCTCCAGCTCTCCTACCACTGAGATACCACCTAGGTATCCATCAGTATCTGACATTGGGAAGGTTCAGTTTACTCAAGAACACTTCTATAACGAGCATACTTGGCAAGTATACACTAAAGTGTATAAGGACAGTCTGATTAAGTCAGAATGAAATGTGAACTTGAAGAAGCTAAGAGACAGTCCAGGGAAAAAATTGGTTGACTACATTGAGAAGCACAAGTGGTTGTTCTTTACCACGATGGTGAATTCCTACAGTCCCGATTTAGTTCATTATTTCTACTCAAATATCCGTAAAGTTCATGATTCAGGATATTTTGAGGTGTCTTTATTCAGGAAGGACTATGTGGTTCATACTGATGTAATCGACAAAGTTCTTAGCATTCCCAAGAATTTTTCAAGCACTAGCTACCATCTTCCACTGAAACATTCCGGGCTGAAGTGAGAAGATATTTGTAATGAGCTGTGTGTTCCAAACTCATCGAGATTTCCCAACTAGATTCCAAATTGCTATCTTACAGATGAGGCAACGTTTCTGAATTTGTTTGCCATCTCAAATCTTAGCTATTTCGGGAAGAAAGATGTTATCTCTATAGACCATGCAGAAGTACTATATCTCTTATCGATAGATGCTATGATTCATCTTGATTCTTATATTTGTGGACTGATGGTAACGCACTACAAGAATAATACCAAGAAGAAATCATCACCATTCCCTATGATCATCATGGCTTTATATCGGGAGTTTGGTATTCCACTTCCACCCCGTGCTCATCATATTGAGATAATGTCCAAGATAGATGTTAGGGCTTTTAACAAGGCCAAATCTGCAAGAGCTTCATCTAGGAAAGCTAGCAGGGGTGCAGCTGCTTCTTCATCATTTCTTTCAGAGGTTACTAAGCTCTTTCCGACTAAGTGGGCTTTTAACACTCTAGATGCCAATTTACTCTACTCTTTGATTCTTCAGAATCAAAAAGCCTTGATGGATGCTATTCTTGATCTTCTAAAAGATGTTAGATTGCTTAAGGAGTAGAGGACGGGTGGTACTTCTAAGGATGTATACAGACCAGCCCCTCCAGATCCGTCACTTATAGCTGATGATGAGAGAGATAAGGATGATGAGACAGATGCTAATGCAGAGGATGATGAGGATGACAGTGGGAGTGACACTGATGGTGGTGATGAGGACATTCCGACATCTACAGTTCTGTTTGCTAGAGATAATCCTGATGCTTGATTCTATGTTCATATCATTTATACATCATTTTTTGCTCAGTTTTTACATAGTCATGACTTGATATTTTTAGATATTTTGTTTCAGTTTCTAACATTTGTTCAACTGATTCCTATTTACTCTGTTTTCGTATTTTTCTCTCTAGTTATTTTGTTGTTATTTTATCAATTTTGTTCCAAAAAAGGGGGAGAACAAGGTTACATTAAGGGGGAGACAATTTACAATTTTTTTTTTGGATATATTATTCGGGGGGAGTTTTTAATTTTCTTATTAAGCTTTCACTGGTAGTTTTGCTTGATTCATGTGCAAGATATCAAGTGAGATTTTGTCCAAGAGAAAAAGAGAGAACAAAGATACCATATTCCGTGTTTTATAACAGTTGTAATTTACTTTCTGCTTTGGGTATATTATCAGTTGTTTTTATGGTTTTGTCACGAAATTGCCAAAGTGGGAGATTGTGTGAGATATATTTTTGTAATTGGCATATTTCGGTAACAAAACATGTCCTAGTCGAGTTGTAATATCAGTTACCATGTCAGACTCAACATCGACTGCGGAATTAGAGGTTATTCAGAAGAGGAAAGTATTGTTGATCATTGAAAAGGAAAGAACAACATATTAGGATATCGTTTCCCACATAGGACACAATTACCTACAAGGTATATGTTCAGAGTTACCAAAATACATAAAATCCAAGTTTTAGTTGGATTCTGTCAAGTAGGAACCGTACCAAGATTTGGGAACCGGTTCTAGAAGCTGCAATTCGAAGAACTATTTACTGTCCTTTGGAACCGATAGCAAGATTGGGAACCAGTTCCACAAGTCCTAAATGCAACAGGTTTTCTAGTTTTCTTGTTCTATTTGATTCATTTTTTATCCAACTTTCCTTCCAAGTCCTATGCATGAAATTTCCTTTATTTTCAGAAGGAATAGGACTTTGTAAATCTTTATATAAACCATGACATATACATTGGTTTATTTACAGTTTTTGTTCTACAAATTCATTATTCTTAAAAGCCTTAGGAATATTATTTTTGCAGAAAATCAGAGTTAATTTTTCTGTCATCTTTCTAGAACACATACATATAAACACATAGTGAGTTTAGAGTTGTGGTGTTCGAATCATGATCGTGATCATACAATGTCATCTACATCAATCAGACAAAAGTAGATCTTCTTCTACATCAAGTTCAGACGATTGAAGAATAGAAGTAAAAGCAATCACACTTTAAAAGGGTTGGAGCATTCGAGGAGTGTTGTCCAATCTACATGCTGGTCTTCTACAAATATCAAGCATAAGACTGAGGTCAAGTTGCTACTGGACAGGGAATCGCAAAGCTAGAGGATTGTCAGTAGTTGGTGTTTGGTAGAACGATAGGGTATGAACCAAAGTCAAAGTTCGGTATACTTTGTTTCAAGCATAGTGAATTGGTTTACTTTGAACTGCACAGTCCATGAGGTTTTTTTCATTACAGTTAACGTATTTTATCAACTAAATTTCCTCACTAAAATCCTAGTGTCATCTCTAACTTTATACTTTGCTCTATTTTATATGCAAGTGATTAATTGTTTAATTACTAAAATAAGTAAAGTTGGTAAAGACACGGATCTGTTTTACAAAATCTAGTACTTTCTTTAATACATTCCGCTACGTACAATTCACAAAAATTACTTCAAAAATGCAAAACTAACCTCTACTTTTTTATTATTTCTACATTAGAGTTCAAAGCTTGAACAGTTCCCTTATGGTGATTTTCTTAGAGGGTTATGTTATCTCAACTGCATCAGATGATCATGAACAAAAAAAATTGACCTCAAATTTCACAGAATAAGCCCTGATAAAAAGATCGATCAAATTTTAGTGAGCAAGCTTTCCTTATGAGTACTCTAGCTAGTATCTACCCCCAAACTAGGAGCCTAGCTTCTGTGGTGGTTTTTAAGTGTACAAAAAGGATTTGCTAGTTTTGCCAATACAGTATACAAGCTTGTATTAATTTGTGTATATATATATGCATAGAGAGAAGAGAATAAAGCAAACCAGGAGCAGATGGTTGATTTGATCATTGCTACAAGAATTGTCGAAGAGGGCGTCCAAGAAGTCCTTTTGGCTTAAAGGATTGCCTCTTCTTCCTTCTCTTCTGTCTTCGATAATGGGCTCCCACATAGCACAGATCCTCGTAAACGCTTCCATTGCCTTCTTGTTCAATCCCTGAAGATCTAATGCCCCTAAAATTGGATAAAAATCAGACAGATTTGGAGCTGAAATCAACTCGTATATTTTCTTATAAGACCCTTCATCCCTCCATCCACACCCTCTTTCTCCAAGCTAATTAAATCTCTTGATATCAAAGCATTACTCAACATGTAAAACACAGTGGCAATAACCAATTCTCCAACTTTCACTTCCTTTCCTTCCTTTGCAAACACAAACTTTACCATGTCCATTGCCTTTCTCTCTCTCAAAAATGCTAGACACTCCATTGCCTTGGCCGAGAACATCTCACTTCTGCATATTGTTCTTAAATTTTTCCATCTATCACTGCACTCCAGTGCCCATTCAAGTAATAAGTGATTGAATTTTGAGCTTTTAGCTGGTACTGCACTAGGAACATATCGAGCAGATAAGTTCCGATCATGGGTCTTGAGAATTTCCTCTGCTGCAGTTGTGGATGATCCGATGATCATGATTTGAGTTCCTAGTCTCAGCGACATGAGAGGGCCATACGACCGAGCAAAGTTTGTCAGAGTGATGTGAGGCTTTTTTCCCATATGAGGAATATTTCCCAATATTGGCCATGGACTTGGTCCTGGGGGAAGTGGTAGACTAGTTTTTGATAAGAAATAAGATTTGAAATGCTTTAGGATGAAGAAGATGGTAGGCAAGAGGAGTATAGGAAAGAAGAGATAGGTTGCTACTCTTGCAATAGTCTGAGTCACGACTTGCAATATCAAGATCTGGCTTTTTGCAGTGTGATTGTATTGTTGTCAACTGATGTATTTCTCTCGAGAGATAACCACGTAAAGAAAGTCTAGGTTACGTACCCTATCATCTCTCTCTATGTATATCTTTGTTAAGCCGGCAATCTTGATTGCAATGTTGACTTGCCCAATTTACAAATTGCCCCAACTGCCCTGTTTTTTTTTTTTTTTGGGAACCTATTTGTCCGTACGAAAATTTGAAGCATTGTCATATAGATTCCTCAACATTAATGGTATTGAATAAAGAATAAAGAATAAAGAATAAAGAATAAATTTAATCACGCATGTAAGAATTATGAATTTTTATTATTATTATTTTACTTTTTGAGTCCAATCTTGAGTTATGAGACCAACTAAGCTTTTGACTATCCAAGCTTGAGTAGGAGTTGAGCCCATACAATTATAGCGGTAAAAATAATGTTGTAAATCACACTAATATTCCAAGTAATTAAAGATGTAAACATCCAATGGATTGGTCACTTTACATCATTTGAGGATTGAGGAGCGAATTGGATCAACCAAGTGCATACAAATTGACCATCTAAGACATGATTTTTTTAAACTCACCACTTGAAATTTGAACTAACATACTTGCGCAAAAAAATATATGTATATAATAATACATCTTTTATTGATACAACAAGTATGTGTTGAAATATAAACGAAAGCTTTCGTAGTTGAAAATTGATATAATGAGCTAAACACAAACAAGTGTGATTATTGTAATAGTAGTATATATGGTAGCTAGGAAGATAAGGTAGCAATAATCCATTGCTTATTTCTTCTAAAGTGTGGGAATGAGGACCAAGGGTATTTCCTTCATCAATGTTATTGAAGCCTTCCCATTCATGTCAAGCTCATTGGGATCATTTCCATGTGGAAGTGACCAATCAAAATTATGAATCAATGAAGCAAGTACGAAAGGAACAAACTTTGCTGCCAAGGGTAGGGCAGGGCAGATTCTTCTTCCTGCACCAAAGGGTAAGAAATCAAAATTATGCCCTTTGAAATCCAAAGTCGAGTTGAAGAACCTCTCTGGCTTGAATTTCAATGGATCTTCCCAATTTATGGGGTCTCGCCCAATCGCCCAAATATTTACTACTACTTGAGAATTCTTAGGAATGGAGTAATTCATCACTTTGTACGAGTCAGGTGCACGGCGAGGAACCAAAAGTGGTGCTGGAGGGTGCTGCCTCAGAGTTTCTTTGAAAACAGCTTAAAGGTAATGTAGCTGAGGTAGATGGGATTCTTTTAGCGCATCTTGTTTGATTTCTCTTGTCATTTCTTCACGGACTTTCTTCATGGATTCTGGACTTTTTATCAGTTCTGCCATCGCCCACTCAATCGCATTGGTATTAGAGTCTGTACTAGCCGCGAATATCTCCTGTGAATGATCGATTGTGTATAAATAAATGCATATATATACACAGAGAGAGAGGGGGGGGGAGAAAGAGAACAAACCTGGAGCAGATAATTGATTTGTTCATCAGTGCAAGAAATGTCAATGAGGGCGTCCAAGAAGTCCGTTTGGCTTGAAGCATTGCCTCTGCGTCCTTGTCTTTTCTCTTTGACAATGGGCTCCCACATGGCACAGATGCTCATAAACACTTCCATTGTCTTCTTGTTTATACCCTGAAGATCTAATGCACCTAAAATTGGATACAAGTCGGACACATTTAGAGCTCCAATGACCTCAACATATTTTTTCAAAAGAGCCTTCATTCCTCCATCCACAGTCTCCTTCTCACAGCTCATAAAATCACTCGATAACAGAAGATTACTCAATTGCACTCAAAAACTGCACCATGTCCAACACCTTTTTTTCTCTCGAATATACTTGAGACTCCATTGCCTTGGCCGAGAAGAGCTCAGTTCGGCATATTGTTCTTAGATTCTTCCATCTATCATTGCACTCCAGTGCCCACCCAACAGATGCAACATTGAATTTTGGTAACTTAGCCAGTCCTGAATGAGGAACATGTCGTGCAGACAAGATACGATCATGGGTCTTGAGAATTTCCTCTGCAGCAGTTATCGATGATCCGATGATCATGGTTTCAGTTCCTAGTCTCAATGACATGATTGGACCATATGACTGAGTAAGGTTTGCTAGCGACATGTGAGGCTTTTTTCCCATTTCGAGAATATTGCCTAATATTGGCCATGGACTTGGTCCTGGTGGAAGTGGTAGAGTAGTTTTTGATAGGAAATAAAATTTGAAATGCTTTAGGATGAGAAAGATGATGGGTAAGAGGAGTACTATAGGAAAGAAGAGAGAGGTTGCTTCACTTGCAATAGTTTCAGCCATGACTTGCAGTACTAACAAGAACTGGCTTTTTGCAGTGTAATTGTATTGTTATGCATTACCTTAATTTCACTACGAGTATATATAGAGGATGCATGCATGTTTAAAGTCAGCAATTCCAGCTAGGGTAGCTATTGTTGCTTGGTGGATCAAGTAAAGTACTGTTAGAAGGGTCTTGTCGTCCACTCCGGATGGAAAAGTAATTAGGTATATATGGGTTGGTAGTTCGCACTACTTAATAGCTTAACTCTATCATTGATGCGCCAAGCATCCAGCCTATGAGGTGTTTAGGTCTGTCGGCCCCAAGTAGACAAGGTGACCTGACTACAACGTGCCTGGAGGTATTCAGGCATCCCGTCTCATGTAGGCAAGATAGCCCGACCGTAACGAGAGAGTTACGAGTTCGGTTGGAGAAAGTAATAGGTATAACTGCAAATGAGCCAACTATTTATCAACCGACACGTATTAACGTGTATGGTATGGTTTACTTTGTCTACCCAGTTCTGCTCACCCCAAATAGTAAGAAAAGAAAGGAAATGGAAAATGAAAAGAAAAGTGAGGTGAATGACTAGAAAATTGATTTTCTAGTATATATTTGGTTAAGACGAAAAATTATCCAAGAAAATTGAAGGAAAATATCATGTTATAGTTTAGATAACTAAATTGTCCTTATTTTATAAAAATGGTAAAATAACAAAAAATTAATTGGTAGTATGTATAAAAAAAATAAAAAATAAAAATAAAAATAAAAAAAAAGAGAGAAGAGTGCAAAAAAAAAAACCCCGTACTATTGCGAAACTTGCAACTAACCCCTAAACTATCAAAATTGCATAAAACCCCCCTGAACTATAATACAAATTTGTTGCAATCACTCCATCTAGCCACCGGCCATCTAAAAATGAGCGCTTGAGAATCACACAACAGAGAAACTAAATTTTTTTGACAATAATGCCCTTTTACAGTCTGTAACAGGGGGTTGAGGGAGAAAGAGATGGATCTAAGATGACGGCCACCACCACCCATCACCCCATTCCAAATCGGTAACCACCACCACATTCAACCAAAACCATCACCGCTCCTCCACCCAAAACCTCCACAATCACCGCTCCTCCACATCACAAAGCCAACCCCAATTAAAAAAAAAAATAAATAAATAAATAAAAATAGAAGTTAACCCATATGCTCTCTGCAAAACCAAACCCAAATCGTCACCATTGCAAACCCAATTAGCAGACCTTCACCCCTCACTAGGGCTGTAACTTGGGCTGGGCCAGCCCGAATTTATCCGAGCCCAACCCGAAATTTTCAGGGCTTGGGCAGCTTGGGCTAGATATTCTGAGCCCGAATTAAATTCGGGCTAGGCTTGAGTTATGTATAAAAATGGTAAAATAACAAAAAATTAATTGGTAGTATGTATAAAAAAATAAAAAATAAAAATAAATAAATAAAAAAAAAAAGAGAGAAGAGTGCAAAAAAAAAAACCCCGTACTATTGCGAAACTTGCAACTAACCCCTAAACTATCAAAATTGCATAAAACCCCCCTGAACTATAATACAAATTTGTTGCAATCACTCCATCTAGCCACCGGCCATCTAAAAATGAGCGCTTGAGAATCACACAACAGAGAAACTAAATTTTTTTGACAATAATGCCCTTTTACAGTCTGTAACAGGGGATTGAGGGAGAAAGAGATGGATCTAAGATGACGGCCACCACCACCCATCACCCCATTCCAAATCGGTAACCACCACCACATTCAACCAAAACCATCACCACTCCTCCACCCAAAACCTCCACAATCACCGCTCCTCCACATCACAAAGCCAACCCCAATTGAAAAATAAATAAATAAATAAATAAAAATAGAAGTTAACCCATATGCTCTCTGCAAAACCAAACCCAAATCGTCACCATTGCAAACCCAATTAGCAGACCTTCACCCCTCACTAGGGCTGTAACTCGGGCTGGGCCAGCCCGAATTTATCCGAGCCCAACCCGAAATTTTCAGGGCTTGGGCAGCTTGGGCTAGATATTCTGAGCCCGAATTAAATTCGGGCTGGGCTTGGGTTGATATTATATAAAGCCCGAAGGCCAGCCCGAGCCCGAAGCCCAGCCCGAGCCCGAGCCCGAGCCCGAAAATGGTATATTTATTTTAAAACTATGTTATTTCACAAGTGTATAATAACTTTGTTAGTAGTGTGTTTGGAATTTTTCTTGGAGGAATGCTGTTTGAGTCCTTGTAGTTGCACAAATTTCTTACTTTTTACATTCTGAAGATAGAGGTGTGGGCTCATGGGCGGGCTTGGGCAGGAGAAGTTAATTATGGGCTAGGCTTGGGTGGCTAGGATTAGGCTTTAGGCGGGCTCAGGCTGGGCTTGGGTAAAAGATTTTGTACATAAGCTGAGCCAGAATTAAGTCTCCAGCCCGCCCAACCCGCCCGAGTTGCAGCCCTACCCTTCGCCACCAATTAATTACAAAGCCAAGCCAAAAAAAAGAAAAAAAAAAAAAAGAATAGCAACCCATTTATGGAAACCCCTTGCTCACCGGCCATAGCCGAGCTCTCCACCATCTGAGCCGCCGCAGCAAAGCTCGTGGCCCACCGCTGCACCAGTCATCGCCCACCACTATGCCAGTCATGCCACCGTGAACTACCATCAGTTCCATCCATGCTACCTTTAGTTTCTCTGGAAGATCAGAAACCCAATTCAATTCCTTTTGATTTTCAAAAACCCGTTTTCAATTCTTGTTGAATATTCAGAAACCTAATTTAATTCCCTCTTGATTTTCAGTGAATTAGGGTTTTCTTTCTGTGCAGATAAAAGAAAACCATAATATAGATGGCGGATCTCATTGCAGGGGCTGTTTTGGGAGCAGTAGCTGGTGAATCACTAGGAGCTATTCTGGATTTTTCAGACAGAGCCATTAGCTTCGATGAGAACTGCCAAGGATTGGAATTGAGAGCCACTTCAATGGAACCACTCATACGTGAGATTGAGGAGATTGGCAGAGAATTGGACTTTCCGGAGGAAAAAATCAGAATTGGAGTTGTCGTCTTTTTTCTTCTTTGGCCTTTTTCACTTCTCTCTCTCCCCATCTTAATCCCTAAACTTTTTTTTTAGTTGAATCTCAATCCCTAAACTTGATCCTTCCTCAACTACACAAATTTTCTTCTTTATACCCATCGATCAAACCATGAAAGGATCAAAAAAGCCAGCCCAAATCACAACCCATACCCAAATCATAACCCACCGCCGATCTCATATGTATACCGCAGATGTTCGCCCTTGCCACCGCTGTTGTCAAGCTCCTCCTCATTCCTGTGTACCGCAGCACAGACTTCGAGGTCCACCGCCACTAGCTCTCTGTCACCCATACCCTCCCTCTCTCTCTCACTAGTACTCCGACGAAACCATTCCATTAACCCTCGAACATCGCCGTTCGTCGCCGCCGATCCTTGAACACCGGCGTGTGACGCCATCTTTGCTCACCGCCGATCTGAGCCCCTGCCGTTTCATCTCACTGTCATTCCTTGCTCAACTCGCTCTCTCACTCTCTCTTTCTCTCCCCTCCCTCTCTGCAGAAAAATGAGGGCCAAAGAAAGGTTACTATGGTTAATTGAGGATAATATTGTCTTTGGCTTTTCCGATACCCTATTGTTAGTTGAAGGGGGTTAAATGCAACTTTGTTAGTTCAAGGGAGTTAGTTGCAAAACCCCGATAGTATAGGGGGGTTTTTTGCACTTTTCTCTAAAAAAAATAATGGAGTTTTCAATTAATTTAAAATTTGTAAACTATTATTTATTTAATTCGTATATAATTGTCAAGACCCTAAAACGATACCAATTCTAAAAAAAATTCAGCATGACCTCTACTAAAAAGGATCCTACCACAACCTGTTGAAATGCATAAAAAAAAAAATGTAATGGCCTCACTTAGCCATAAACTCCAACCCACAATGCAAACAATATATCAATTCCCAAAATAACTGTATACATATATTCAGAGTCCCTTCCCTCCAATTCCTTCAATAAAAAAAAATATGGAAGTGTTAGTCCACTACTTAGTCCCATACTCCTTTACAAGGAACATAATCTAATTACATCAATTTACAGTCCATGAAATGCAGCTGAAATCGAAAGTCCATAATTTATTATATTATACAAATTATACTAAAGTTTTACAGGATAGTCAAAATTTACATTTACAAAATATTAAAATTGTAAAACAAAAATAGCAAAATATAAATTTCCAATCTCGTCTAAACTTGTGGTGGATGGTCGTTCGTCACTTCTTTTTCGTGTCCTGAAAAATATTAATAATAACGGGTGAGCAAAATTGCTCAGTAGGTGGTGCCTAAAACACAGCTCTTATAGTCCCGTGAATCCAAACAAAGAATAGACCAATAGGGAACGGGGGCATGCTAAACCGGGAGAACATAATATCAATTCCAAGTTCAAAAACAAACGGATGTCGTGCCATGAATGCAATGCTATGCATGTCACTTCCCATTTTCAGAAAACATCCATCGTTTCACAAACTGTTAATATAATCTGCCCTTTGGTGACTCCGCAGCGACACGAGAGAAGGATTGGCTACTGTCTCTGACCCTTGGTACTCTAGCGGCGTCATTTTAGGCCCAGATAGCTCAACCATGCTAGGGCAATCTCTCTAGTTCCCTTTAAACTATATTAACACACCGGCGCTTTGGTGACTCCGCGGCAACCGGGTTTTCTCAAAATCTCTTTAACCAAAACATTTTCCCAAAATCCCTTTTTTATTTGTTCAAAACCATTTCCCTTCATTCATGCCCCATAATATGCATGTATGTCTCATGTATGCAATACAAGGGCAATAAGGAATTTCATACCCCACAAATAAGCAAGTTTTATAATAATTCTAAGAAAATTTTCATAAACTTCAATATATCATTTCTAGCAATTTTATCAACACAATAATATAGAGAATTCAATAATTAAGCATGTTTTTCATACAATTCAACAATTACACATAATTGCATGCTTCATATACAACATTCAATTATTTAAGAGGCAAATAATTCAAATTAATCATGTTTGACAACAAATATGGTAGAATGACTCACAAAAGTACAAGAAAGTGAGAATTAGAGACCCCTACCTCCAATTGGTTAAAAAGCCCCAATTTTTATCTCAAACCCTAGGATTTAGAGACTCCTCAAATGGTAGCCAAATGGAGATTGGCTCCGATCAACTCGTAGATCTCGTCGTGGGCTTCAATTTGGCGCAAACGGCTTCCAAAAATATCAAGTATTGAAGGAGAGATCTAGATTCAAAGTCTTGATATAAAAAGAAAAAGAAAAAAAAAATAGAGCTTGAGAGGAGAAGAGAAGAACCAGCGGGAGGAAAAGATAATGGGACCAAAATATGGTCTGATTGCCTTTCTGTAAACTATTGGTGGTTCCCACCCACTTTTTAATTTCTTTCTCTTTTTCTTTTGCTTTTAATTTACACCCCACACAGACATAGACACATATTAAATCATAACCACATGCAACACATTAAATAAATTAATATGATGCAAATGGACCCAACTAAAATTCTCGTGAGCAACAATTCCGACAGTAGGTCTCATACGGGACTGTCCGGCCTGAAAAACGGAAAAATGCCAAAATGAGCACCCTTACATTTCAAAGAGCTCTGAACTTAATGAAATACCCCAAACAACTCTCAGACACAACCGGCACACTCCACAGTATCCGATACGAAAAATGGTAAAAGACGAAAATGTCCTTGCTGCGACAAAATTTTCGAAAAAAAAAATGAAAAATGGCGAAAATTTGGAAACATCACAATGGCGAAAAGCAATTAAAAATGAAAGTCAAGTTAATTAAAACACTATCAATGATCAAGTTATTGTTGGACTGCAATTCTTTGAAATATAATAAATAAATAAAATAGGATAAAAGTTGTTATGTAAAATAATGTAATGAAGTTATTGGTTAAAATAGGAATACAAAATAAAAAGGTAATACAATTTTCCCATGTTTTATGCTGTAAACGTTTTAAGAAAAATAGAGGGTAACGAGAATCTTAATTTTCATTTTCTATCTAACCAAACTACTAAAAAGTTTCAAAATTTTCTATTTCATTTTTTTTCTCGTTGATTCTATCTAACCAAACAAAGCTTAAAAGTTAAATTTTCCTTATTCAATTGAAACTCTTAATTTTTTCCTTTTTAAAGTTCTCTCAATTTTCATTTTTTTTTTATTATTTTTCTTTCCTTTTTCTTTTTCTACTTCTACTTCTACTTCTACTTATTAAAATTCTTCTAGGTGCATATTTGAATAATTTTCGTCTTCTTCTTCTTTATTTTTTTGTATTTTATATTTGTTATATTATATATATATTTTGCCCAGGTGCCCCCTCATTCCCACGTTATGAGCTGTTCAATTATTACTTCTACTTTCAAATTACAGTTGGTCCATTGGGCTCAAGCAGAAAAGATGCTTTAAAGGCAAAACATCAAAAGCAGGCTCTTGCATTGCCAATCCAACCTAGTATACCCATTATTCAATTGCACATAATTCACATTAATAATATTAATTTGTTTAGGAAAAAAAAAAAAAAAAATTGAACGGTAAAAAAATAAAAATAAAAAATTTTGTTTGGAATGTTAAAACCATGAAAATGGTTCCTTTCACTTGTATTTTTTTTTTAAAGAACTTTTTTTTTCCTTCTAACATGTTATATATGATATAAATATTTATTTTTTTCATTCTTAGATCTAATATTAGTATTCATTGATTTAGTAAAAATATATAATTTACTAGATATGTGAAATGTGACAAGATATGTGATCTGAGGAAGCCTTTAAGAGATACATATTAGAGGCAAGAGACTTAAAAATTAAGTAAAACTAAGACATAATATATGGAAAGTACGTTTAATAGAGTAACAAGCAATCAAATTATAAATATTACAATTCCGGGCTAAAAAATTATTCAAAATAGTTGTTTTTGTTACCTAGGATCAATAGTATAATTGAATACTAAATAAATTGATAGGAAAATTCTATAGAATTATTAGGCCAGTATACCATAAGATGTTGAGTGTTGAGTGTTGAAAGAAATGCAAGATATAAGAGAAACGCATTCATGTAATGGACATGAGGATGTTGGATTCGATGATAAGAGTAATTAGAAAAGAAAAGATTAAAAATGAATGTGTGAGAAGAGTTTTAGGTGCAACACTTATAAATGATAAAATTAGAGAAAGTAGATTTAAGTTGTATGATTGTATTCAACGTAGACCCAATAATGCCCCGACTAAATGAGAAATAGTTGTTTGCATAAAAAGGAAACGACAAAAGGCCCAACCAAATCCATTTCGGATATGGCCCAATGGTTTACTCGCTAAACTTTGAAACTTAGCAAACTCAGGCTCAAGTCCTGCTGGGTGTTCTTTGTGACTAGTCTCCGCTACCCCTGCAGTGACTTAGCCGGCTCGGGTGGGGAGGTACCCTTCTGAGTCCTCAGGGATTAATCGAGTTGTTGAAGGATCCTAAAGAATTCGTGCCATCCCAGACACCCCAAGTTAACTTAAAAAAAAAAAAAAATTCGCCGCCAAAACTTACATAACCAAAATGAAATAATAAAGAACTGTCGAGAAATACTAAATTTAAGAGGAGATCTATTCATATAGAGTAAAGACAAGCATGTCACCGCGACTTTCTAACAAGTTAAATAATTAATTTTTTGAAAGTAATAAAATTATACTTCGTATGTAACTTACTACTGACATGTTAGGAATTTACATTTCCAAATTCATGTTCACCACCACCTACCATCTTCATCTGTTGGTCAATTTTTTATCTGCCGAACTGTCTTGAGCTACCTTTCTTCTTTGTCTACATGCCCTAATCACCGGACCATATTTTTGTCATAACTTATTATTTATATAACTGAACTTTAGTAACTTGATTATTTTTTAACATAGAAATTGACTTCTATTTATAAAACAGGATGTTTTACGGTTGGATTTTAAAAAATGACTCATTAAACTTTTGTTTTAAAATTACCATTTTCTTTTACAAATATGAAAAAGGAAATCTCCTTTACATACATACATAATAATAATAATAATAATAACAACAACAACAACAATTATAACTTCTGATTCCTCCATTTCTGAATCCATCTGGACTCCATACTTACCAAGTGAAGCAAGTTTGTATATATTTAAGAAAGTATGGTAAGTAAAGATGCAAATGAGCCAAACTATTCATGAACACTAGTATGTCTTGTAAGTGTGAGATATGAATTTATTTTTGGCAATTATCGTAGACATAACAAGTCCAAGTTGAGTTGTAATTTAAGTTACTAGTTCTACAAGTCATCAAGTTCGACAGGGACTACTGAATTGGGAAGGAGTTCAAACTTACCATACTTGAAGAGTTTGTGAAGAAAAGGGTAAGAACACTACTTGAGGAAGGAATATGAACAAGGTTGGACATTCTACACTTACCATGTTGGTCTGAAGTTTCCGTAGAATGAAACAAGGCTGAAAAAATTTGAATATTCAGGTCTGCCAACTTTGAACCGATTCAGCTTCCTTGAATCGGTTCAAGATGCTCAAGTTTGAGTCACTGCCAAACTTGAACCGGTTCAGCTTCCTTGAACCGGTTCAAGATGTCCTGATTGTTCTACAATTGCAGTTTCCTTTTTCTGAATTATTTCCCAGTTGGTCTAGAATTGTACCAAATCTTATGCACGAAATTTACCTTATTTTCAAAGGGATTAGGTCATTCTATGCTCTATATAAACCGTGTTATATACATTGGTTTATTCACGGCTTTTACATTATTATTCAGATATTATTCAAAGCCTTAGGAAGATTATCTTTATAGAAAATCAGAGTTGATTTTTCTGATATCTTTATAGAACATAGACACATAAACACAGAATTTAGAGTTGAGGTGTTCGAATCCTGATCGTGATCATACAGTCGTATTTACATCGATCAGATGAATCAGATCTTCTTCTACATCATTCAGACGATTAAAGAACAAAAGTAAGCGCAGTCTCACTTTGAAAGGGTTGGAGCATTCGTAGAGTGCTATCTGATCTACCTGCTACTCTTCTACAAATATCAAGTATAAGTCTAAGGTCAAGTTGCTGTTGGACTGGGAGTTACAAAGCCAAAGGATCGTCAGCGGTTGGTGTGATATAGAACGATAGGGTGTGAGCCAGAGTCAAAGTTCGATATACTTTGTTTCAAGCATAGTGCACAGTCCACGAGGTTTTTCCCATAACAGTTGACGTATTTTATCAACTGGGGTTTCCTCGCTAAAACTCCTGGTGTCATCTCTAACTTTATACTTTGCTTTATTTTATCTGCATGTGATTAATTGATTAATTGCTAAAATAAGTAAAGTTGGTAACGACACAGATCTGTTTTACAAAATCTAAAACTTTCCTTAATACATTCCGCTGCGTACAACTCACAATTTGGTATCAGAGCCATCATCTATACATTGAGTTGATCCTTGTTGGAAAGTTTAGTTTTGTTTTCAAGAATTGTTTTAATCATGTCTTATGCGTTGAAAAAAGGCGGTTCTAATCAACGTGGTCTTTTATTTGAAGGAGATAATTACAACTTTTGAAAATCAAATATGAGAGCCTATTTGCAAAATTCTGGTGGTAGAACGTGGGCAATTGTCAAATCGGGTTATACACCTCCTACAGTAGATACAACTGTAGATGGTAGAATAGTCAAAGAGTTAAAAGATACTTTTGCTTATACTGCTATTGAAACTGAGTATAATGATGCTAATGGCAAAGCTTTATATTCAATTATTAATTTTGTTGTTCCATCTGAATATGTTAGAAATTTTAATTGTAAAACTGCTAAAGAAGCTTGGGATATTTTGCAAGTTACTCATAAAGGAACTTCAAAAGTGACGTTGTCCAAAATTCAGTTGTTCTCTCATAAATTTGGCAATATTGTGATGAAAGAAGATGAATCCATTTCTGATTTTTACTCTAGTCTTCTTGAAATAATTTCTGAACTGCGTCACTTAGGGAAAAAAGTTAGTGATAAAAAAATCTGTGAAAAAATCTTAAGGTCTTTACCTAAAAGATTCCAGATTAGGGTTGAAACCATCTCTGAACATTAGGATTTGACTACCTGTGGAGTTGATGAGATGGTAGGTTCATTAAAAACTTTTGAGATGCAAAATTTTGATTTAAATCAGAAGGAGAAAAATCTTGCTTTAAAATCTACACAGGTTGAGAATTCTATGGATGACAACTCTGATGATGATATTGCATTCTTGTCAAGGCAATTCAGTCAGATTTCGCAAAGACAACATAGGAGAAGGAATAGCAACGTAACTAATCCTAAAAATTTTAACAAGACGTTAAAGTTTAGGTTTAATGAGAAAAAAAACAGAAGAATTAAAAGAAACTGAATTTACTTGCTGGAATTGTGGTGGCA